ACAGTATAACCCCAATTATACTTTCTTGTTTTTTCAAAGTTCCTAAGCAAACTTAAATACATAAAACTTACATTACCCTGTACTTTCGGGAAATAACAATTTTCCAAATAGTATCATCATATAATATCTAGCTTTAATTATTCTTGCTAGCTCGGACGAATTTTCATTCAATTCAAAAGTCGCATAATGTTTTTTTAAGTTCGGTTAGTAATATACCTTGGCCCCTAGCACCACTACCTTCTACCATATTTTTTCCCAATAATTCCTCGCATAGAAAATTAGGTTATTAAACCGACTCATTGACAGTCTTACCATTGATAGGATGACCTAATAACATGTACACGTCCTCTAGTGTAACAGTACATTCATCTATTGGTAGATGAAATGTGTGTGTCTTGGGTCTCCACCTTTCCAACATTGCAAGTATAAACTTGGAATCAATCGTACAGTTTGAGATTTTTATAAAATTGCCAAAACCTGCATATTGAGATAGGACACGATCAACGGGTCGGGAGTGATGTAGTTGTGTGAAGAAATTCTAAATCTTTTAGTATCCTAAATTCAAAATGTAAATAATGTAAGAATCCATAAGATGACTAATTTAATAATAATTTTATAAAAAATCTATTAATATAAAATAATATTTAAGAGTTTATAGAAACTTACAAACGCCTCAATGTTGTCTCTTGTGCTTCTATGAGAATCTCCCATTGTGAGAAAAGTCATATTTGAAATTGTATAAGACGATGAAAGAGTTTGTATCAGAGAGTGTGATGATTGGTGATGCAAAACAAGTGTCTCAGGCGCTATATTTATAGACAAATTTGTATAGGAGTGAATTAATAAGGTGGTTGGTACTTGCATGCATGCATAATACGTACCATGTTGGCGCCAAGTCAAATGGCACTTACATACATTTTAGAGAGCATGTGCCAATCAGCTTGGCGTGGGACAGGCCTACATGTAGAATAGGTGGCAGTATAGGTGCAGTGTAAGATGGAAGCATAGGGACAGTCTTATACACATGCATGTAAGGTGATAGGACATGTAGGGATGCACCATCCCAGATGGCGCATAAGAATAAAATTGATAAATTTCGCCATCTCAATTGGCGAATTAGTGGTGGAGTATTTTTATCTTGTTAAAGTTTAATGAAACATATTTATCCTACATGCATCTAATGTTATCTACACTCAAACATTCAAACACCAAACACAGTATCCTCTACACTATGATACGTTATCAGTGCACATTTCAACGGTGAGACGTACATTTGTCCCACCTTTGATTTTTTATTTAGAGACACTGATAATATCTGATTTTGTTTAGACAGAAAAGCCACTTTCTTGTATTTCAAAAAATGATTAGAGGTCAAACTTGGATGAGGTCCAGTGACACACATCTTCTATAAAAATCCAGTTTTTTTATGAGAACCAAATAATATTTTATAAGGTAGAGATTCAAGATGACGAGGACCTTCAAAATATGTTTTCTAGTCATGAGTATTCTGGGTACGACTCGATTGAGTTGTACATTGAGTTGCAAGAGCCTCAGTTGTCACAACCAACTCAATCACAAGTGGTTGATCCTCTCGAAGACAAACAAGCAGAAAGAGATGTGGTTGACGAAGAAGAGGAAGATGAAGAGTTAGAGTTTGACAACATGGTCAAAAATGATTATAAAGACGATGCGCTACCTGAAATACCTCCAAATGAAATCTACACACCACTTACACACATGACAAACTTCAACATGGGCGGAGAAGAACATTCATCAGATGTTTTTTTTCAACCCGTATATGCAGTCTGGTGAAAATTTAAAAGAGAAAGACAAATTTCATAATAGAGAAGATTGTAAAGTTTCACATGTTAAACACTATCGATTTTAAGGTAGATCTGGTAAATCCAGAAAGGTACAAGCTCAGGTGTGTTCACCCAAATTGTATGTTCAGGCTTACTCCATCATACAGGTTGAGAGGTGATTGTTGGATGATAGGTTCTATGTCCACCCACACGTGCATCAATTCTACTCAATCACAAGATCATCGTAAACTCAATTATGATCTAATATGTCAAGAAATCCTACCTCTTGTCATCAATGATCTGTCATTGAAGGTGAAAACTATAATCTCTCACATCACTTCAGTATACAATTATACTTCATCATAAAAAAAGGCATAGTTAGCAAAGACCAAGGCGATTGAAAAGGTATATGAAAACTGGGAGGAGTCATACAAATAACTATTGTGCTACCTGCATGCACTTTAGACGTATTCTCCTGGAACTATTTATATTATGGAAACATTGTCGGCGTATGCCTCAGATGGTACTTCTGTCAATGGAAGTGGAATATTTAATCGACTGTTTCGGGATTTTCAACCTTGCATCACAGGGTTTGCGTCCTGCAAACCTATTATTCTGATAGATGGAACATGGTTGTACGGGAAATACAAAGGCACACTACTGATGACAGATGTACAAGATGGAAACAACAATATTTTCCTAATTGCCTTTGCTCTAGTCGAGGGAGAGACTGGTGGTGCTTGGAGTTTCTTTCTCAAGAATCTTTGAACACATGTAGCTCCTCAACCTGATCTCTGTTTAATCTCCGACAGACATGCAACTATTATGAGTGCATACAATAATTCTGTAAATGGTTGGCATGACCTTCCTTCTACGCATGATTATTGCATTAGACATATCATACAAAAATTCACGAGGGAGATCAAAGACAGAGCTCTTAGGAAAACAGTTATGAACGCGGGGTATGCATTAACATAACCTTCGTTCAAACACTATTGCAACGAGATCAGATTATCAATTCCGAATGTAGGTAGGTGGATTGATAATATTCTAGTGGAGAAATGGATAAGGTCATACGACAATGGACAACGAAGGGGCCACATGATAACAAATCTTATCGAATCAATGAACGATGTATTCAAAGGCATACGAAACCTCCCAGTAACCGCTTTGGTGAAATCAACATATTTTAGGATGGCTTCGTTGTTTTCAAAAAAAGGTGAAATATGGAATGCGGTCTTACAATCGAGACAACTATGGAGTGAAAGTTGCATGAAATATATTAAGACAGAAGGTGCCAAAGCCAACACCCATCTTATTATAAGGTTCGACCGACATAGCCACAACTTCATTGTCAAAGAGACAATCGACCATAATGAGGGGTTGCCAAGACAAGAGTATAGGGATATATTATCATCTTATTGGTGTGATTGTGGAAAGTTTCAAGTCTTTTGTATGCCTTGATCTCATGTCATTGCGGCATGTGCGTATACTCATCAAGATGCATTACTACTTATATCTCTCATTTACAAGTCTGAAACCTTGCTCAGCGTATATAACAATGGCTTTCCAATGGTAGCGAAACCTGATTATTGGCCTGCATACAAAGAGAAAATAGTATGGCACAACGATCAAATGTGAAGAAATAAAAAGGGTCGTCCCAAAAGAAAGTGTATCACAACTGAAATGGACTCCCTTGACAAGCTAGAAAGAAAGTGTGATTTATGTCGTCAGGTCAGACACAATCAAAAAATTGTCCCGCTCGTGCTACAAGCTCGATAACATAAAAATTATATGCAAACTATCTTCACTTTTTTAAGTTCTAAACGTAACTTTTTTTCATTAAGAGCATTTGTTACAACAAACCATACGCAAACAACAAATAAAAACATGATAAAACATCTAAGAAATTACAACCGTCAAAACAATTCCATTTGAGCCATGCATCATCACCATTACGTCTCTGTCTGTTTTGACTTCCTCCAACCAAAATTGAGTTCTTCCAGTTGCAAGTGAGGTGGTTGTTCTTCTTCTCTGGATCCTTCTAATTTGTTCCCCAACATCGATGTTTCTCTCTAACCATCGCATCAACTCTCTCTTCAGACGTTCCATGGAGTGAATGTGCCAAAATTTCATTTTCATCATAGGTTTAGTGGCCGAAAAAATAACGTACTCATCTCTGGTGAAAATCATGGAAGATGTCATGATTCAAATAACAGAGAGAAAATAAGAAGAGAATGTGAGAAAATGTGAAGAATGATGGAGAAATAGGTATTTTATTTATAGAAACACAATTGCATGTAGTAGCCATCTCAGATGGCACCTCCTCCCTTTTTTATAGTGCATGCGCCATCTCACATGGTTAAAACAAAGTGCATGCGCCAAGTGAGATGGGACCTAAGACAAAAAGGTTATTGCATGCGCCAAGTGAGATGGCGTCTCCGTTGTATATTCTAAAATATGGTTATTTGCGTAATTTTCTCTGAAATATGATTATTTGTGTTTTTTTTCAATATCTGATTATTGCTAAAAAAAATTCTCAATTCTCTTCTCCAATAAAAAAAATTAATTTCAATATCTGATTATCCTGCCACCCCTACACGTCCTATGCATTTATCATATGAACTCGGCAAAATATAAAAATTTCATTTTACAAATCCATTAGAACCTCTCATCTTTATTGGGTTTTTTGAGCAACCGCATTTATGAGTAATAAGTCAATCTTTATCATATATTTTTGTGAAAAACATGCATTTTTACCGCGTAATTAAAAAATAATAAATGCGCATATATTTGTCCATATTTTTTTAAATAACCGATAAAAATGCATGAAGTTTTCTAGATTTTTTTTAAATAAGCAGTAAAAATATATGGTATTTACCGCATATTTAAAAAAAATCGATAAAAATATATGTATTTTTACGGATTATTTTAAAAAATCCAAAAAAACACATGGTTTTTACGATTATTTCAAAATATCCAGAAACATGTATAGTTTCTACCAATTATTTTAAAAAATCTGATAGTTAAAATTTTATTATTTTTTCAGTGAGGATCAAACAACACGATAGCTTCTCGACATTGTGATAGAGTTGAAGCAGTTGCAACGAGGGCTCATGTGAGGAAAAATAATGTAGAGGACTTGCATAAGGATGTCAACTTGTCCCATTAACAGAGATCTCCGCGGGAATTTTCTGTTTAGGGCTCCAAAGACGGGGAATTTTTTTCCCACGGAAATGAGGAACAAAGTCTCCCTGAAGGCACTTTGGGGACAGGAGTGGCGTAAATATCCCCCGCCCCGTAGAGTCCCCCGCCTAGAATACCATAATAAACATAATTTATATATAATTTTAAATTTTTATGTAGGTTTATTTGTCATTTCATATAATTTATCTTATAAACAAATTTAAAATATAAATGTATTATTAGTAAAAGAGTGTGATATAAATAATTATTTTAAACTTTTTAAGTTTGAAATATTAGTGGTTATGACACTCAATATTATAGATTAAATATTGTTAAAACAATATATTTATCATAAATTAATAAATTTTAAATTTTGTTCTGGTTAGTTTTTAAAAATTTTACTATTTGGTTTAAAATAATAAATAAATAAAATCATATTTATGGGTCTCTGTATAAACTTTGGAGATCCGTGGGAATCTGCGAGGATCCGCGAGGACAGAGATGAGGGACAAAATTCTCTCTGACGGAAACACGAGACGCAGACGAAGAATACATTAGAGGACAGGAATTGAGATGGGAATGTATCCCCCCGCCCCCACCCCACCCAATTGACATCCCTAGACTCGCATATCTGGGCAGGAAGAGTAGTCGACCAATTCTCACAAGAGGCGTGGCAATCAAGCAATTTCATGCGCCCTGCAATACCCAACATAGAGGATCTAGACTTACTTCTAGATGGACCAGAGATTCTGATGATGAACGTTGTTATTAAGGATGTACAAGCAATAGTTGAGGATGACATGCGGATGGTGGCAGAGACGTAGGAATCACATCCTTCTAAAACAACAAAGCTGCCAGCGGTGCCCCGTCCTTTTGAGACGGTCACGTCTACTGAGGAGCCTTCTATGGATAACATCTCTTCCGATTGAGACATAGATTACTTCTCCGGATTCAACAGATGAAGAGATTCTTAAATTCTAGATAAAAACAAATTATACATTTGTCATATTTTTATTGAAAACTATTAAAATTCACACCTAAAAAATTGTATCTAAATTTTCTCCTTAAAAATATTTTCACAAAATTTAACCAGTAATTTATTGAACAGGATTAATCCAGCCGATGAAAATAATTTAAAACTTCCAGCATTCAAACAAACCTAATTTACAAGAAAAACAATCATCACACCTTTATACGCCACAAATTGTGAGTGACAAGAGTTGCATAATATAGCTTTCAGACACATCTTAATGTCTTAAAATATGAGTATAGTTACATGTCAGGAAGAGCTGAAAGGGTTCACCGCATTCCTGGCTTGCCTTCTATACAACTAATCCATTTGGCTATTATTGGTACCTTATGGATTACTATATTCAGTATTTCACCGACAACATTGTCTGCTTCCAAGATCGAAACCCTTTCGACAAAACCTTTCCATGTAATGCTCTCACCAACAATTTCACCTTGATCCCAAACAATACAAAACTTCAGTAAGGTAACAGGGTTAACCTTTCATGTTTCAGCCTGGAATGTGCCTAACTTTATCTTCTCAATGCCCCCACAATTCCACCAACGCCAATCATATTATATCAAATCCTTCACTACGGGTGCCACAAGAAAGCAATCCTTCGGATGTCTCGTGCAAACATATAGGAGCACAAAAGATAGGCACAAACCCAGTTGCTGATTGCAAAGATTATAACCCATCAAAGCCACGTTCAGCTACCAAAGTTCCTCAACCGTTGTAGTGAATTTTTTGATTCTGGGAGCTCTGACCCTGAGGCTGTGGTTGAGAAGCTTGCATGTTCAGTGGCTGTGTGTTGTAATGGGCAAATGGCTGGGAGTAGAGAGAATTCATCTGTGCCAAAAACACACGATTTACCAGAAGAAAAAGAAAAAAACTCATGCACCAAACAGCAATGACAAGGCAACCAAGCTTATAAGTGAATTGGGTGGTAACAACAACTGCATCCAATCAACATTTTAACATTTTAACGTAAAAGCTACTATTATTACTTATTTTTGCGGAAAATAAAGTTAGAACTAAGGAAACCTGTGATTGAAGTGGGTTAGAATTAGCCACGTTGAAATGGTTCTGTGTTGCATCACCTTGCAAGGGATCACTGAACCCCACTTGAGTGAAAAGGCCCTGAGATCCATGGCCCATGTAGTCCTGCAAATTGAGAGAGAGAAAAGAAAAATCAGAACAAGGACAAAACAGCCCAGGCAGGGGAAAAAAAGCTGGCTCTCTAGCAACTTCAGCAACCTGAGACATAAAGTCATTTCCAGAACCAAAGCGTGAATATCCGGCTTGAGAATTCTGGTTAAGAAAGTTGCCCGGGAATCCACCTTGTGCTCCTTGAGTTGCATAGTCAACAGCATATCCACTTTGAGAAGCCTTTAGGTAGCCAAAGTGTTAATACGCATAAAAATAACATAGATGTGAACATCTGATGCATATTATTAGCCTATGTTTGGGAGTTTGGAGGGGAAGGGAGGGGAGGGCTTTAAAAAATAGGAAGGATTGGGTGAAAAGAGAAGAAAAATTTTGCTTAGGAAGCTTTTGGAAGGTTTGTTTTTCTTCATAACACCAAAAACCCCCTAATTTAGGGAACTCAAAATTTGTATTGGAGGAGGGTTTTGAGAGACTTAATCAATTTGTTCAAATATAATTTTTGTTATAGTATTTCAAAAACTAAAAATACATTAATGATAAACATTATTTTATCATTCTAAACAAAATCTTTTTTTCAAAAAATGTTACAAATTTCTTTATATTTTTAAAAAAAATTATTTTTGGAAGCCCTCCTTTCCCCTTCCCTCCAAACTCTCAAACATAGCCTTAATGAAAAGGAAATAATAGAACCAGATGCCCGATTTGCTGATTACTGAGATTTATTTAGATCTAAAAAACAAATAGAATTGTCAGGTAAATATTAAATATAATATTCACACACCTGTGTAGAGAAATCAGTTACATTATAAGGAACATGAGATCCTTGGCTCTTGAAGTCATCACCCAAGAAGTCCTGAGGTTATTAAAACAAATTAATTCCTGGTGATAATGGATGAACAGAAATGAACCCAGTTTACATTTAAAAAAAATCAATCTCCTACCAAACTATAATTAGTACCTGAGACATTCCAGGAACAGAAAATTGATCTCGGAATGATTGCCCCGCCCCTTGGACCGGCATCTAATATGTACAAAAAGAAAATCAGAACCTACCAGGCAACGAAAAAACATCAACATGAAGATAGAACACATAAAGGTCAAACAGAAAAATAGCATACATTATTAGCAAAGCCAGGTTGAGACAATGGACCACCAACAGATGGCTGGCTGTTAGGGTTCTCTAATGCAGGGAAATTAAATGCGGATCCCAGATTCCCAATAGGCTGTTGTGTGCCTTGTGGGTGTGGAAGATGATTGCCAATTGGAGCACCGGAATTACCTCTCCCAGCCCCAAAACCACGGCTCCCTGGAGCTGGAACATGAGGAACTGCCCCAACAGGTCCATGAACAGCCCCACGAGAAGGAATGGCATATGGTTGAGATTGGGGACCACCATGGTAAGGAGGCAATGGAACCCTTTGCACAGGAAACCCAGCAGGATGCAGTCCAGGTTTGTGATTTCCATTTGGTGGACCAGAGGGCATATAAGATCCTGAAGCCAATAGCAAAAATTGCCGTCAAAAAATCTAAGTGATTGAAATAGCAAAAGCTCCAGTAGTCAGGTGTATAGATAACATTAACTTGAAAGTTACAACCAAAGTTTTGAAATGTTAGAAATTAGAAGAATTTAGGTGGGACACAAAAGTAACTAGACCATAAGATAATCTAGTGTCTAGAAAGGGAAAAAAACAATCAAAAAACTATAAATTACATACCCCTTCCTCGGCCGCTCCTCCGGTCTGAACTTGTGCCAGCACCAGAACCAAAATTATCATTAGCAGCAACTCCAGGTCCACCCCCATAAAAAAGTCTACGTTCATTATAAATCTGCAACAATAAGACCAAGTTCGACATTGATATGTAATCTTGATAAAAAAATATCAACAGAAAATCTCGCCACTGAAAGCATTAAATTCAGCAGTACTCTGCCATAAGGAAATATTAGAAAAGCCAACGCTCTGCAATCCTTTGACACCTACCTTTTTGGGTTTCTGGAACTGAACCATACTCTGCTTCAAGTTATTTAAAGGCCCTTCAACTAAGCATTCGTGTTCCTGTTAAGAAAATACGGGGAAAGTATAGCTTGTTCAGAAAAGGAGATTAGCATCGAATCACTCTTACAAGAGGGAGAACTTTAAGCAATAAGGAAAATATTTGATTTCTGAAGTTCTTACGAACGTTTCAAATAAACATCGGGCCCCTGGAGAGACAATATATCTATATTTTAAGAAATCGGTACCAGCAACAGAAGAAGTTTAGAACATACAAACTACCTTATAGTGAGTCAGTAAACCATTCCATAGAGGCTGCTTGCTAAGAACTTTAGGGTTTCCCAGTATAACAATACCATATCTAGCTCGTGTCAGAGCAACATTTAGCCTCCTAGGGTCATTCAGGAACCCAATTCCCTAAAAAAAGTATATAAGTCAAACAATTTATCCGTGAAATTAAAAATAATAATAACACGCAGACATTTAAAGCAAGAGAATTATGAAAAATGGGAAACAAAGGCTAATAAAAGCCACTCAGGATGAGTTGACAACCTGATGTTCATTACTTCTAACACATGATAGAATGATATAGTCTTTCTCCCTTCCTTGAAAGGAATCAACACTAGCAACCTGAAAACAATTAAATTAATGTGGTAAATGCGGCCAGGTCAAACATAGTATGTTAACCAAGGTATCCATTTCCAACCTCAATCTCCTTGTAAAGTTGCTGCCTAAGAGAACCATTTCTTGACATATAGTTTACAATATAAGCTCTTTGCCCTTCATAAGGTGTTATGACACCGATCTGTTCCACGTGAAAAACAAAATATTATTATTTATAAATTACTGCATTAGTTTAATCGCAAATGATTAATTTCCAAATCAAAAGATACCTGACTTGGAACCACACCACTTTTTAAAAAAGTAGTTACAATCTTTTCAACGTTTGCAGCCTCTGTCCTATTCAAATAAGATGTTCCGCTAGCACTTATCTCTTCTTGTCCCATCTATAAAACACAGGTTAATAATAAAATGATAGAGAAGTAAGTACAATGGACAAAATTTAGGGTACACGCCCAAAATAAAATCAAACCAAAATCATGACAACTTTCAAATTAATGCCTGTATAAATATTTGGGGCACAAAAATAGAAAACAACATTCATGTGCATTATGTGTAATTAAAGCACCTGAACATAAAAAAACATGGGACGATTTGGTACAGGCCATGGAAAATCAATTCCTGTGGTTTGCCTCTCGTTAACAGTAACACCATTTTGTAGAGTGCCTTCATAAAAACTGTTTGATGGAAATTCAGAAAGGCATGGATGCATTCGGTACTGAACCTGATATTTGCAAGAATAAAATGAAATCTTAAAGGTCAGTACAGCAAACTAACTTTAGAAAAATAAGCCAAACTAGACTAACTCAGCATGGGATATTCTAACCCAGACAGAACTAACGAAGCAGATTGTCAACAAACGGAGATAGCAATTCTAAACAACTTTATTCATGAATTCTCGCTTGGAAACTAAAGCCCATTTACCTGCAACCTAATTGGTCTGACACCAAGTAGAACAAGACGTTCAAAAAGCGACTGTGCTAACCCAGCACGGGCTGCTTTCTTGCACATAATAACTGGACCAAGCTGACAATGATCACCAACAAGAACAACCTAAACAGAAGCATCTTGTTAAGAACACAGCAATCAAAAAGTACAAACTACATGTGCAGATTGACAAATACCTGCTTCGCTCCAAGAACCAAA